GCAGGAATGGCCTGATCTTACCAGAGCCCTTAGCCCCAGTGGTGCAGAAGGAAACAAAAATGCTCTGGCCCCATCCTGATTTAAGTCCTGGTCGAAGTGCTTGTATATAAAGTGTAGGCCTGGACCCTCTATCTGAGGACAAGATGTTTACATAGAAAAATGATAACACACATCAGTTTACTAGATGTAATATGAATAAAATAGGTAATTCTAGGGAAGAGTAAACATCTAGGCAAGGATCACTCAAGGAAGGTACAGTCAAAGAGCGGAGGACAAGAGAGCTTAACGGCTTGATGAGCACTAGTGAGCACTAGTGCAATGTAAAGGCCAGCCCAGCAAAAGTGAAGGATTCTTACATTCAGAGGTAAGCTGGACAGGCACGCCCTAGTCTAGTGGTTAAGACAGCCAGATTCCACAGGGCTGACTTCCCTGTTCCAACTGCAACCCTGTGGCACATCAGTGCCCAGCCGGCCCCAAATCCTGAAAGGTGGAGGAGAAGGGAGGCAGCATGACCCTCCTCCATGAGAAGTACTTTCTTGCTTTCCTTCTGTCTCTCTGTCTCTCTCTGGCAAATTAAAAAAAAAAAAAAAAAAAAAAAAAGAATTAAGATTGGAGAAGTAGGTAGGAAGGAGGTCATCCCTAGAAGAGCTTGAAGCCTACCAGAATAGAAAAGACATTCTACAGAGGTAAACTATGTCCACAAGGAGTAAACTTAACTGTCAAAGGAAACACAAGCAGACAGAGCGTTCTGGGGTAGCCAAGAAAAGTGTGGGTGAGGAGAGAAAAACTGCTGAAGCTCTTGAATGCTGGACAGATTAATTGTGGAATGTTGTGTCAATGGTTGCTGTGCATTTTTAAAGCAGACACACCTGTAGATTGATCAGGAGGCTACTTCTGCCAAACTTGTTTATGTGTCTGTCAAAGGGAAATGTCATGTGATTGATGAAATGGGTCCCCTCCTACTAACAAGCATATATAAAAGCGAAACTAAACCATCATTTCTCCTTTTTAGGGCCAAAGTTGTAAGATCAAAAAGTCGTCACAAAAATGTTATCATCAGGGAGTGCTACCTTTAAAAGAATACTGCACTTGGTTCAAGTTCCTACTAGTTTTTGTCCAAAAAAATTAAATCATCAAAAACCTCAAAACCATTACCTGAAAATAGGACTGATAATACCTACTTCTCAGAATTGGAAGAAAGATGAGATGAGATTGTGTGAAAGAGTATTGAGAACACATGAAAAATAGGAAGCACTAGAGATGTTATAGAGTTCTTGGGAAAAACTGAGGAAGATTGGAAATATTTGTAGTTCATTCATTCAACAATATTTGGAGGGCCATCTCTTTTTATAAGAGGTATTTTTTGCCTTAGGGCGCTTCTGCTCACTGGAGAGAGTCAGACACAGTGAGAGGGAAAGTGAGAAATCATCCCCCAGGAGGATTCCTTCCCCTGCGTTCTCCTCCCAGGATTTTGAGCATGCACACACACACACCCGATGTGATATTTGAAGCCACCAGGTCCGAGACTCGAACTACTGTCAGCCATGTGGGAGTCCAGCAACATAACTGTTATGCAATTTGCTGGTCCCAAGGGGCATCTGCTCTGTGCCAAGCACCGTTCTAGAGATTTCATTTAGTGTAGATATCTGGGTCAAAATGCTTGCCCTGCTCAAGCCCCTTCTCATTCAGTTTGCTCCTACTCAAAGCTATTATGACCTCACCATCATCACCTGTGTACAACATCAGTACTGCCCACACCTGATTGAATCAAGGGTGACCACCAGATCCAAGCATAGCAAATAATATTTCTTTCCCAGATTACTGAAATATAACTATAAGAAACTAAGTCAGGTGGTAACCATACGGAAAAGAAACAGCCTTCTATTACTAGGGCAGGAGAATCACAACGTAGTGAGATAACTATCATCTCTCTCTCTCTTGTTCT